CTCCAAATTATATAGTTTTAAGCAAGACCCAAAATCTGTTTTGGTGGATTCGGGCAAAGCCTCATTGACAAATGGGAGTTTGTCTCGATCCGAGTCAGGATCAAGTAATGCAGATGAAGTGTTAGTTAGCCTAACTGGGGATGGAGAGGTAGATTCTGTTCAAGATCTTCAAGCGCAGGTAATTTTTCTCGTCCTTTCTGGTGGCTTGGAGATGTTCCCCTTAGTACACTTGAATACTAGATAATTATATCTCGTGAAAAGGTAGAAAAGATCACTTGACACCTACAGTCATGGTGCCCTTCTGAAAGTTGACTGATCACTTCTCCAGGTTTTGTGGTTGAAGGCTGAAGTTTGCAAGTTGCTTGAAGAGAAAAGATCAGCTCTTCTTAGGTTAGTCTATTTGCTCAAATATATAAGTGGATACTAAACGTTGTGAACTTTATGTCTCCTCGTTATTCCTCAATATGTGATGTATCCCGATCTTCCTATTTTATGGTAGAGCTGAAGAGTTGGAGATTGCTCTCATGGAGATCGTCAAGCAAGACAATCGGCGTCAATTGAGTGCCAAGGTATTCCCATAACCTTGCCATTTGACAGTTCGTTTCCCAGTTAAGCATATTAACTCGCATTATGTTATTTGTTTCTTCATCCATCTTCTGAACACGAACACTACTTTCTCAATCACTTGTGAATACCATCTCTATGCTGATCGAATTCGAAGGCTCATCCGTGATATGTTAGTTTGAGAGTCATAAGATGTCAAATGCTGCTTGTTATGAATGTGAACATCAGGTGGAGGAGTTAGAGCAAGAGATAGCCGAAGTTCAGAGACTGCTCTCTGATAAGCAGGAACAAGAAGGTGCAATGCTACAGGTTTGAATTTGCATAGCCAATTTGTTTTTTTTTTTTTTTTATCGCTGATACATTTGCTGAGATGAGTTGATACTTATGAAGGTCCTGATGCGGGTGGAGCAAGAGCAGAAGGTAACAGAAGATGCACGAAGATTTGCTGAGCAGGATGCAGCAGCGCAGAGGTATGCTGCTCAAGTCTTGCAGGTAAAAGAGTTCGCACTGACTCCTACTTACACAAATGTGGCTTGGCTATTAAGTTTTACTGTCTCTGGTTATAGCTGTGACACGCCTCTCATGGAGTAGAGTTACACATTAGTTTTTTGGAAAATAATCTACAGTATATTATCCGTATTAACACTTGTCTGTATGTTTCAAATGTTACACTATTTCGTCTTCTGTTTTTTTTTTTTTTTTTTTTGGGGGTCTCTTCCTCCTATTATCTTAGATAAACAAAAATTAATTGGTCTAGGAAAAATATGAGGAAGCTGTTGCTGCACTCGCTGAGATGGAGAAGAGAGCGGTGATGGCAGAGTCCATGCTTGAAGCGACTTTGCAGTATCAATCTGGCCAACTGAAAGCACAGCCTTCACCACGGTGTGTTCTTTTTTACCTGAGACAAACAAATTGTGTACATAACTATTAACATTCGATGCGTTTATGACTCATGACCTGTATGTTAAATTGGGGTATACACATATATATAGGCAGCTGAACCAAGATTCATCTGCCAAAAACATCAATGATCAGTTACCAGAACCTCCTCAAAGCAGGATCAGTTTGCTAGCACGTCCATTTGGACTAGGGTGGCGCGACAAGAACAAGGTTAGTCTTCTTCTTACACCTCAATATTTTTTTGTTCAAAACCAAAAACATTTTCTTCAGTTAACGCACCTTCCTCATCATATACGAGCTGAAATCAAGTAGTGTCATTTAACAAAGTCACTAACCCGCGATTTGCAGAACACAGCACCTGAAAAAACTGTTGAGCATGTTGTTAATGAGGAGAAGCCATCAGCAGAGGAAAAAGAGACCGACTCTGAACCAAAAGACGCTAAACTCCAAGACACTTCCTAGAGTATAAGTAGTAATCCTTGTAGCTCTCTTTTCCACTAAATCTTCAAATACTAGTAGGTAAAATTCTCCTACGTTTAGCCTCAATAGCGTCTCAGTCACCTTTTATTAATTTGGAATGAAGTTTTGGACATAACTTTTCAAATATATTCATTTGGTTGTTGGTTTGGTAAGCATATAAAAAATAATGAGTTTTGAGGAGGTGAGATATATAAGTCATGAATGGTGTATACTGTATAGTATAATTTGATGTGTTATCAAACTAGTAGTATTCTCCAGATTCCACAGATTTATCATTAATGATCAAATGGTTGAGCATTTTGTGCTCCGTAATGCTGATTTCTTCAAAAACATTCGTGCGACAATCAGCTAACCTCACAAAAATGTAAGTCAATTACAGCTTCGAGACAAAAGAAAGAAGAAAAGAACCAATTTCATCAAATAAACCAAAACTGGATTAACCAAAACCGGCAAGGTAACAAAAATGGATTAAAACTTCGGAAACAAGAGGGTTCTATTTCTCTCATACAAACTTAAAACACAATTTCGCATGGTCCTATTAAAAACAAACATATTCTAATGATAGCTTACGCCTTCACCATTTATAACCTCTCCAATGCGATACGCAACATAGTCTCCATTATTGGCTTCTCCAAGTATTCTCGATGCTGCCTCTGGGCTAACAACCAACACCATCCCTATTCCCAGGTTAAACGTCCTTCGCATTTCACTGTCTTCTATATTCCCAGACTGTATAATAACAACCAAAAACAATCAAAACACTTGAAGTATAACACATACGTAAAGTGTATCTTGAATGATTATCTGATTGTCTCATATCATTCATTACCTGTTGGATCCATTTGAACAATGGTGGAAGTTCCCATGCATCGGTGTGAATAACAGCACCCAATCCATCAGGGAAGACTCTGGGAATGTTGTCTGTGAAACCTCCACCTGTTATATGAGCTATCCCTTTCACTCCTCCTTTACTGATTATGTCAAGTACCTGCGGATAGAGAGAAAGAGATAGTGTCATGGACTTAATTAACAAATGTGATGGAATTTGTTTCTTGTTGACAAGAAAAGAAACCTGTTTCACATAAATGATAGTGGGTGCCATTAAAGCTTCACCAAGAGTAGTTGATCCACCTGGAAGCTCATCTTTCAGCGAAAGACCGCTTCGAGCCACGACCCTGCAACGATTGTGGTCTTTTAGTTTTATTCAATGAATATAGTCAATAGTTTAGTGTCATATCTTCCACTAACTTACTTTCTTACTAAAGAAAAACCATTGGAATGAACGCCACTAGAAGGGAGGCCAATAAGAACATCTCCAGCCACTATGTTCTTCCCGTTTATAACAGATTCTTTCTTCACTATGCCTACTGCAAACCCACTTAGATCATACTCACCTTCTGCATAGAAGTCAGGCATCTCTGCAGTCTAAAAACAACCGAAACAAGATTATGGAACAATGCAGCAGTCTTAAAAGCTAGGAATTGGGTTTAACTCTAAAACATACCTCTCCACCTAAAAGAGCACAGCCTGACTGCTCACAACCATCGACAATACCTTTAATAACCTGAGAAAGAAAAGCACAATGTTACGTTCTACATCAATATCATGTACTAGAGCAAGACCGAAGTGGGAAGAGATGAAACAAATTAGACACCTTTTCTGCAAGGTCTACATCAAGACGACTAGTAGCAAAGTAATCTAGGAAAAACAGAGGCTTAGCACCAGAAGTAACAATATCATTCACACTCATAGCGACCTGAAACAAGAACAAAAACGATGAGTGTCTTTTGTAGGCGAGCATTAATAGAGTCACAAAGGACAGATTTTTTGTGTTACCAAGTCGATTCCAATGGTGTGATGAATTCCAGTCTCGAAAGCCAACTTAAGTTTAGTCCCTACACCATCCGTACCAGCTACGAGAAAAGAATCACCTTCACTCAAACAAAGCCACACAGCTCAGTGATTAGTATAAGAGTAATCCAAACCATGGAAATTATAAAAAAAAACGAAACTTTTCAACATATTAAAGGTGAAATTTTGCAGTATACATTACCTAGTGGAAAGAGACCACCGAAACCGCCGATTCCAGGAGCCATCTTGGCGATTCGTTTAACGAGCTCAGTTCCAGCATCGATATCAACACCAGAATCTTTGTAATTGAGACTCTCGGCGTCGTCGTCTTTTTTAGACATGGATAAAACACAGGGAGCCCTTGTCCTTGTTCTCGGCGTCTGAGGAAAGCTGATGGAGAGAGGTTTCGGCGACGATGTAACGGAGGAGAAACGGTATCGATTGATGGAACCGGAGGAGAAGGAAGTGTCGAGGGACGAGAAGCAGCGAGAAGATGACTGCAAAATCCGAGCTTCCATGGCTTAAACAGTAATAATACAACAAGAGTAGAGTAATTAACACAGGTCAAGTGAACAAGATAAGTAACAGAGAGGAATCAGCAATGAAAAGAAGAGAGAATTCGACAAGGTTTAAAGAAAAGGAAGAGTAAAGAGAGAAAAGAGTTACCTGAGAGAGGCTGAGATTGAGACTTAAGTGAGTCTGAGGCGACGCCGAGAAGGGACTGAGCAAGACTTTGTGTCCGAGCGAGAGTAAAATGAGAGTGAGAGAGAGGAAGCCTAAAATAAATTAAAACAAAAAAAAGGTTTTAAACCCTAATAACACCACCTAATTACTTGTTTTTTTCGTTTTCTATTTCTTTTTTGGTTTTTTATCTTACACGATAAACACCCTGAACAGTGCCGACCAAAAAAAAAAAAAAACACCCTGAACAGCAACTACTAGAATCTATCATCAAAAAATAAAAACTACTTAGAATGACACTAATCTTAACTAAAGAAAAAGAAAAAGGTCCATATTTCAACTAAAACATGTTTCCTTTAATTATAGTTGGATCCACCATCTTCATAGTTTTTTTATAGAAGAAAGCTTTGGAGCGGTTATTTAATCAAAAATCGTAACACTGGGACATTTTTATTCTCTTGAAGCGTAGATAGCATTAGCTTTTTTTTGGTATATAATCTTTACTTCCATTTCCAATCGCTTTCTCAATCAACTTCTTTTGCAAGACAAACAAACAAACAAAAAGGCTAGGAAACACCAGTTGCAACATTTTAAAACAATAATAAATAAAGAAACACACACAGTCATACATATATAAATATTATCAACGTACTAATTCACATCAAAAGCCTTTTATCCATCTTTTCCTTCTTCTTCTACTTCTTCACTTGTTCCATTCCTAAAATCACAACCAAACCAATCGAACACATTATCACAACTTTGTTTTCTTGGATTCAATCCAAAACTTGTAAAGATACATGATATACGAAGAGCCTTGAAGCTTACCTCCACGTTGATGTTAGGTTCTGAGTTTTTCCTGTCGAGTTGCAGATTTTCCAGCGCCTCTGAAGCTTCCATTACATCTTCCTTCGCATCTTCACTGTCATATCTCCAACTTTGTTCGCCTTCTCTTCGGTCTGAACAACCTCATTTAAATATTTCAGATATCATGAAACAGAGATAATCAATTCAGTAAAAATTAGATTGGGAAATGATGACTCACCTGATGCTTGAGATGCAGAAATAGACCTGCACATTAATTTAGTGATAAGTAAATCAAAGCACGTCAGACTCAGAATCAACATGAAAGAGTAAAGATACTTGGATTTGGCATAACATGGTGTTAGAGATATCATGTATACCTTCGTTGAGGAGGTAAGCTATCAGAAGCAGATGATCTGCGAGGAGGATTTCTGGACTCATGGCTTGATGAGGACTCGTTTTCTGACTCCCTCCTTGAACTACCACCCATGGCCTGTGTTATGTTCTGAGATTCAATAACCAAATATAGGTAGATCATCACTAACTACGCCTGAGGAGAATACAGCAAGACAAATGATAATGGTTTTACTATGAAAGGATGTGAAGAGAACTTTAGGCTTAGAATTCACCAAACTTGTTTCTGAAATCTCTGAAGAATTCTAATCTCGAACTAAGACACTCTATTTACTTACAAAGTACCAAGATTCTCTGTAAGTTAGCGTTTATAAAGCCTGCATGTAACCAACATGCATTTGCTCATCTTCACTTACAGAATAGGAACTGAAACAACGTACTAGATGGTGGACTATTGCAATTTATTTCAAGTATCGTTGTAAAGCTTGTATAATTCAGTTGTCCTCTAAACTGGAGACATCTTCACAGGGTAAGATAGGAAGAAAGAAGTACCTCGAACCCTTCAAGAACATCCAGAAGGAGTGGGCCACTATCTCCACTTCTGTTGAGCTCATAGCCATTGTTGCTACTAAAGTCGCGTATCTCAGACTTCCAAGAATCTTTTGGCTTTGCATAGGTTTTCAGGCGGAATGTAGATCACCATATCAGTGAGAAAAGTTCATCTACAATTCTCTAAATGAAAGATGTAAAAAATAGTCCAAAGAAAAGGAGTTCCAATTGAATACCAAATTGCATTCTGGTTGATAAACTTTGAGCGTATGATTTAGTTGCGCCCAGTCCAAGTATTCACAAATCAATGCAGATAGCAACCTGCCTGCATTTCAACATTTTTAAAGGTGAGCAAGATGACCCTACTCAACTATACATAATAACCTCAATGTTCATATTTCGTAAACAAAGAAGCAAGCAAAGTTTCGGCCTTGACGCGATATCATCCTGACAAAATATGGCAGGTCTAAGAGCCAAAGTCTCCAAACCAAGACATGCCATTTAGATCAGAATCATGCATGAAGGATGAAAGTGAGCAGGATAAAACATGAGAAAGACCTTTAGGAGAAGCATGAAGCTGCCTTGCACGATCATTGCAGCTTCCCAACAAAGCTGGAGGAAGCCCTTCGTTGTTCTCGATCACTCGATCCTCTTCTTCTATTGCCTCAAACACACTCGCACGGAGCTCAGCCTGCACAGCAACCGAACTTATCAGCTGAAATAATAAACTCCAGAACAATGCAAAAGATTACAATTTGCATTCACATTTAAGGAAATTGATAAACGAGAAGACCTAATTACTAAAATACGAAGTAATTTGGAATCAACAACTGAAGTTATCGACATTAAAGGCTACAACTTTTTGACAGACTCAGATTCCAGATGCATAAGTAAAATTAAAATCATCGAAATTCTGCAGATATTTGAACAATTAGCCAAGGATCTGGAATCAGGAACCCTAGACAAGTTTTTATTTTTTTTTAACTCAACAGAGGAGCTAATGGAAAGCGAGCGAGTAATGTATGAATCGCAGGAACAAGACGAGAAAAAAAAGTTTACCCGGATCTTAGCGAGAACACCTTTCTTCTCAAGGGTTCGAGTGACCAAAGTCTTGAGATCCATCATCTCTCTAGTATAATCGTCCATTACAGATTCCTGCTGATGCAATCTCGGCTTTTGGTCACCGGAAAATTGTGACAATGCTTCTCGGAGAGAAGAAGTCGTTTGAAAACTCGAAATAAAAAAAATATTCAAAAAAATTTATTCTACCATTTTTTTCCTTTCTAAAACAAAATGTAGAGTTGATTCTTCTACTGAATATTGTATTACTAAACAAACAAAGTTAAAAAGTTTAAAAAAATGATATGGTTTCGATCTTTCTAAAGATACATTTACACATTGGTTCTTCCTTTGATTCTTGTTTGTGAAATGAAATCCTCTCTTCTCAAAACATCTCAGAACGAAACATTAACCATTCAATGTCTTTTTTGGGAACAACTTGTTAAAAGAGACGGAGATGTTTGTCGAAAACATAATAAAAACGCAGTTGCAGATATGGAACATACATATATCACACGTACACAGAACCATAAACAAACTAATCCAGAAGCTGCATCTTATCAGAATTCTAAATCAATCAATCCCTCCCTTCTTCTTCACTTGCTCCATCCCTCGCATTCCTGCAACACAAAACAATCCAATGGATCAGATTACCCCACATCTTACTTCTTTCTTTTGTCTTTCATTTGTTTTCATTTCAACATGAACACAGGCAAAGGCTTTACCTCCAAGAAGATGTTAAGTTCCGAGTTTTCCTATCCAGCTGAAGATTTTCTAGCGCCGCTGATGCTCTCATTACCTCTTCATGCGCATCTTGGTTGCTCTGTCTCCAATTGAATTCATCTTTTTTGTACCCAGAAGTAGACAACCCGGCTCTTCTATCTGAAACCAAACAAAAAAAAAAAAAAACACATTGACTTATTCGGTATCAACTCAAGTATCATGACGAATCTTCCAAGAAAATAGGGGAATAATGGATGACTCACCCGATCCTTGGGATGCAGAACCCGGCCTGCCCATTAATCAAACACGAAATGTCTTACTCAGATAGGCAACATTAAAAGAGTAATCTTTGATTTGTGGCGTTAAAATGGTGTTGGAGATGTGTGTACCTTCGTAGAGGAGGTAAGCTATCAGAAGCAGATGATCTGCGAGGAGGATTTCTTGAGTCAAGGCTTGATGAGGACTCTGTTTCTGACTCTCTCCTTGAATTACCACCCATGGTCTGTGGCATGCTCTAAAAACAAAATGTTGATCACTAACATGATCCTTTGATGAGAGTAGAGAAACCGAGGCTTGGACTTGTTTCTCAAACCTCTCAAGACATTTAATCTTGAACTAAGACACCTAAAAAGAGTTATATACTTGAAAAGGTTGCGAGGTGTTTGCTACAAAGTACAAGTTTAAGCTTTTCTATAGGTTGGTGTTTGTAAAGCTTGAATGTCACTAACAGAAAAGAAACTGAATGGACTATTGTACATTTTAATACAAATTGCTAGTATAGGTTATTAGTTTGTGAAATTGACTCCCTTCTTCTCTGTCAACATCTTCACAGGGAACAAAGTGAAAGATACCTGGAACTTCAAGAATCCTTCAAGAACATCGAGAAGGAGCGGTGCGCTTTCTCCATTTCTGTTGAGCTCATAACCATGGTTGCTACAAAAGTTGCCTAATTCAGACTTCCAAGAGTCTTTTTGCTGCGCATAGGTAACAATGCCGATGACCAGATTAGTAAGGTTGCAAGGTTTTCAGGTTCATCTACAATCTACAGAACGAGACAAACAAAAAGAGAAGGAAATACTTGATTACCAAATTACATTCGGGTTGATACACTTTTAGCGTGTGATTAAGTTGCGCCCAGTCCAAGTATTCACAAATTAACGCAGATAGCAACCTGCCTGCAATTCATTCAACAGTTCAAAGTGAGGACCTACTCAACTGAAAAATCTCAACTTCCATATGCCAAATAACCTAGACTCATGGAGAAAGCACAAAGAAGATAAAAACAGAGAGAAATGATGCATAGACTACACAGCAGCCTTAAAGGTTTGGGAAAAGAAAAGAATCGAAAGCACATAAACCGATCCGAATGATCAAAACCAAGAGAGACAAAGCAAGAACTTGAGAAAGACCTGATGGCAAAGCATGAAGCCGCCTCGCACCATCATTGCAGCTTCCCAACAGAGCTGGAGGAAGCCCTTCGTTGTTTTCTATCACTCGATCCTCTTCTTCGATTGCTTCAAACACACTCGCACGGAGCTCAGCCTGCAGAGCAAGTGTACTATCAGCTCCTCTCATACGAAAAGTAAGCAATTCAAATTCAGATTACACTTTGCATCGATAAATGAACAGACCTAATCACTAGATTACGCTTGGAATCAGCATGACTTTTATCGAAAATTCTTAGATATGCATATGTAAACAACATTACTCAGATATTCAATCGACGAAACAAGGATCTGAACCCATAAACCCTTAAAAAAAAGTAAAATTAAGTTCTTTCTCTGAACTGAAAGGCCGAAACTTGGAAATTGAATCTCCGGTTCCATTTCCAAACAAATCTATGCGAATTACAAAGCGACTTCGTAATATATATAAGGAATCGGCTAAGAGACAACGAAACATAACAAAATAGTTACCCGGATCTTAGCGAGAACACCCTTCTTCTCTAGGGTTCGAGTGACTAAGGTCTTGAGATCCATCATCTCTCTAGTATAATCATCCATTGTTCAACCACTAAATCAAAATCAAAGTATGAAAAATTGGATTTTTGAGAAAATGGGGTTTCTATGTTGTGGAGAATTTGAAGATTGGTGTTGCGCCAAGCCGGAGTGGCCCGATTTTTAGCCAAAATGAGAGAAAGACGTTGAAAAAAAAAAAAAAAAGCACAGACACACATACACACACATTTTGCAGGCATTTATTTTACTTTCTAAAAAAAAAAAATATTCCACAAAAGATCGACTTTTCCATTCTTGTCCGAAATTTCAAAATCTTGAGATATTGCCCCCAAATAATGTGGATTTTATTAAGGGAAAAAACTCAGATCTTATTATTTCCACGAGCAGTGTATATATACATTACATAACTAATATATCAGAAACCTTAATGGGCCATGAGACATTAACCTGATGGTTAATGGGCTGGTTACTAGAAGTCCATTTGTTTATAACACTCCCCCTTGGACAAGGTAACCATGCCTGTCACAAAACCGGGATCTTTATAATGCGCTGGGGAACGTTGCCTCATTAAAACCTTACCAAGAAACCCCAGTGGGAAAAACCATGGTGAAAGAAAAAGAGTACAACACGCATTACTCCCCCTGGTTTAGGCATCACTCTAGATCTCTAAGTCTACGCATTCCTATCTGATGAATGAGCTTCCGGAGTGTAGAAGTCGGTAATGATTTAGTGAATAGATCGGCTGAATTTTCGCTTGATCGAACTTGCTGAACCTTGACCTGACCATCCTTCTGCAGCTCATGAGTGAAGAAGAATTTGGGCAGAATATGCTTCGTCCGGTCACCTTTGATGTAGCCGTCCTTGAGTTGAGCGATACAAGCTGCATTGTCTTCATACATCACCGTAGGCTCCTTATCTTCGTCCATACCACACTCTGATCGGATATGCTGAGTCATGGACCGCAACCAAACACACTCTCTACTAGCTTCGTGGATGGCCAAGATTTCCGCATGGTTGGATGAGGTAGCGGCAATAGTCTGCTTCATGGATCTCCAAGATATGGCTGTTCCTCCATGCGTGAAAACATAACCGGTTTGAGACCGGACACAGTGCGGATCTGACAAATATCCTGCATCAGCAAAACCAACTAGACCATCCTTGTTATGGTTAGAATAAAATAATCCCAAGTCCTTAGTACCTTGAAGGTATCTAAGGATGTGCTTAATACCGTTCCAGTGCCTTTGAGTTGGACACGAACTAAAGCGAGCTAAGAGGCTCACGGCAAAGCAGATGTCTGGTCTAGTGTGACTAGCCAGGTACATTAATGCTCCTATGGCACTGAGGTATGACATTTCAGGACCGAGGATTTCTTCATCGTCCTTCTTTGGACCGAATGGATCACTATCCAATCCAAGGCTCCTCACAACCATTGGGCTGGTCAATGGGTGGGCCTGGTCCATATTGAATCTCTTGAGTACCTTTTCAGTGTATGCCAATTGATGCACAAGGATTCCGTCATTGATGTACTCAAGTTGTAATCCCAAACAGAATTTAGTTTTGCCTAGGTCTTTCATTTCAAACTCTGCTTTTAAGCATTCAACTGTTTGGGCGATTTCACCAGATGTTCCGAGGATGTTCAAGTCATCCACGTATACTGCTATGATTACAAATCCTTTGTTTTGATATTTTCTGATGAAGATGCATGGACTGATCGGATCGTTTTCGTAGCCTTCTCTGATGAGATATTCGCTTAACCGGTTATACCACATACGTCCGCTTTGTTTCAGTCCATATAAGGATTTGTTCAGCCTAATGCAGTGTTTATCACGAGATGCATGCTTATCTTTGAGCTCAATACCATCTGGTAATCTCATATAGATTTCACTGTCCAGTGGTCCATAAAGATATGCGGTTACAACATCCATTAACCGCAAATCTAAGTTTTCTCTTATGGCTAGACTTATGAGGAATCGAAATGTAGTTGCATCCACCACTGGAGAATAAGTCTTCTCATAATCGATTCCGGGTCTCTGTGAGAATCCTTGTGCTATAAGGCGTGCCTTGTATCTAACGACTTCGCCGAGTTCGTTTCTTTTACGCACAAAGACCCATTTGTTTCCCACTGGTTTAACATCGAATGATGTCCTTAAGATCGGACCAAACACATTTCGTTTCTTTAAACTATTCAACTCCACGTTTATGGCTTATTTCCATTTCAGCCAATCTGATCTACGAGTGCACTCAATTATAGACGTGGGTTCTAGATCCTCTTGCGTGTGCGCAATCTCAAGTGCTACCTTGTATGCAAAAGTTTTATTGATGTCGACATCTTTTCTGTTCCATAGAGAACCGAATATGATATAATTGATTGAGATCTCATTATTATCAATCCCTTCAGAACCTTGAGTTTTGGCGTCCCAAACCTCTTGAGATGGTTCGATAGGGTAAGTATCAGCTGAGGCTGTATCCGTGTTCTCTTGAATCCCGGTTTCAATCATTGCACCTTTCTTTGATTTCCGGGGATTCTTATCTTTGGAACCTGGTGGTCTGCCACGTTTCTTACGTGCGTCAGACTCTGTAGCAACTTGACTTTTCCCTGAGGGGACATCTATTCGTACTGGTGCATTACAAGCTGGTATGTACGATTTGGTAACTTTGTTCGGGTCAGCAAAGGAATCTGGCAATTGATTAGCTAGCTTTTGTAAATGTATAATTCTTTGGACCTCTGAATCACATTCTAGAGTCCGAGGATCTTGCCATTGTGTGGATGTTTGATTCCATGAAAGTTCTTTTACCAGCTTGTCTGTCTCACCACCTAATCTAGGATATACCGATTCATCAAATCGGCAATCTGCATATCTGACTTTAAACAGATCTCCTGTAGTTGGCTCGAGATATTTTATGATGGTGGGAGAGTCAAAACCAACATATATTCCCATCCTCCTTTGAGGTCCCATTTTAGTCCTCTGTGGTGGTGCAATGGGTACATAGACTGAACACCCAAATGTTTTAATATGGGAGACGTCTGGCTCATGACCCGTTAGCAATTGGGATGGTGAATATTTGTGCTTACTAGATGGTCGTATGCGTATTAGTTCAGCGGCATGTAAGACTGCGTGTCCCCAAGCTGAGACCGGGAGTTGTGACCTCATGAGTAATGGTCTAGCAACCCATTGAATTCGTTTAATGAAGGATTCAGCTAATCCATTTTGTGTATAGACATGTGGAACGGGATGTTCAACACTTACTCCCATGGACATACAATATTCATTAAACGCTTGGGAAGTGAATTCACCAGCATTATCAAGACGTATAGTCTTTAATGGGAAGTCTGGAAAATGGGCTCGTAATCTGATGATTTGGGCCAATAACCTAGCAAAAGCCTGGTTCCTAGAAGAGAGCAGACAGATATGCGACCAGCGGGTCGATGCGTCAATGAGGACCATGAAATATCTGAATGTCCCACAAGGTGGGTGAATTGGTCCACATATGTCTCCTTGGATTCTTTCCAGAAAGTTCAAGGTCTCTTTAGACACTTTGACTGGTGAAGGTCGGGTAATCAGTTTCCCTTGTGAGCAAGCTGTGCACTTGAGGTGCTGAGGGAAAATACCATTTGGTTTAAGGCTGTGCCCTTTAGAATTCTGGACTAATTTACGCATCATGTTCGCACCGGGATGACCCAGGCGATCATGCCAAATAGTGTAATCTAAAAACCGTGCTTTGATAGCAGCATTAGCCTCAATCATACTGACTTTAGCATGGTAAATGCCAGTAGATACGGCGGGTATAGTTTCAAAAACTTGTTTATGGCCATTTATCATTTTAGTGATAGTTAAAAACTCTTTGTTCCCTTCATCCTGAGTTTCGATATGGAAACCATTCAATCTTATGTCTTTGAAACTCAATAGGTTTCTCTTAGAACTGGGTGAGTATAAGGCATCAGAGATGTCTAGATATGTGCCATTTGATAACAACACATTAGCTTGGCCATGGCCCTCTATTAGGCTCGAACTACCCGCTATAGTGCTAATGTTTGCGGTTTTGATTACTAAATTTATGAAGTAATTCTTGTTTTTTAGAATGGTGTGGCTCGATCCACTATCCACAATGATATCCATATTGTCTTGCATATCTTTTCGCCAAATGGATTTCTGACCGGCTTATGATCTGGGAGCTAAAGACCACAGATATCTACTGGAAACTTCTGAGAATGATGGCCAGAAGGAAGGACGAACAGCTGCTACAATGGAGGAACCACCGCTTGGAAAGAATCACCCGCTAAGGTGGGACAGCGCCGATTGTTTTGAGTCGTGAAGGCGCGTCTAGTGTCGGATTGAGGAGCGGTTTTCACCACTAGATTCTTCTCTTCCAGGGCTTCAAAATGATATGTAGATCTCCTTCTAACTCCTTGTATTTTGAGAGATATGATCGTTTGAAGTTGAGCTTTGTGCTGATAACGTATTAAGGGAAAAAACTCAGATCTTATTATTTCCATAAGCAGTGTATATATACATTACATAACTAATGTATCAGAAACCCTAATGGGCCATGAGACATTAACATGATGGTTAATAGGCCGGTTACTAGAAGTCCATTTGTTTATAACAGATTTTTCTTTCTTTAAGTATTTTGAAACGAATATGGTATTGCCCGACCCAACATCACATTTTACGATCAAAATTTGTGTGGCACTACAAGAAGAAGAGGTGGTCTCGAGATATAGTTGGATTGTTGCAAAAGAAATCACAACAAATTTCCATCTAGATCAGCGAGATGATTACCAATGGCAAGTTCAGTCCAATTTAGCCAAAGCATATATGACAAAAGAATGTGTCGATACTGACATTTTGTATTACCTACTGGTACACTTTTTCTGAAGATGGATTCACAAAATAATGTGTCGATACTGACATTTTTGTATCAATCAAACAGATATATGAGGAAAGAGACGCAAGGGAAGAGAATTTTGAGATGTTGCAGCAGCTGCAAAAACGTGCTAAGGTTCAGCAGGAGAACACTAATCGCTTTAGCAACGATGACGTTTAATGAGTCTTTGGAACATTAATAGTCATGAAGGAGTATGACTATGGCGGCAGATCATTGAGAAAGACATTTGAGTACGTAGGAATATTGCCTTTTTACTAAGACGGATATAAGGAAGCATTAACCAGGTTTCATTAGCATTAACCAGGTAAATATCTTATGAAAGCATATAAATATATAA